AAAAGGAGGGTGAGAATGGTTGCACAACTCCAAGAAAGTAATCAATGTCACTAAATTGTACATGTAGAAACAACTAAATTGGTGTGTGTTTCCTGTGTACATTTTCAACAACAACAAAATAAATTAAAAATAAATAATAACAAAAACTAGACTTTTAAAACCCTAAAAACAGGGGCTCTAGAGATGTTGTTCAAAGTGAGCTGACCAAAACAGAAGCAAGGTCATTTCCAACTTTGAGGCATTTTCCCAAATTAACATCTGCAAAGCCACCTCCTAACCTTGATGTAAAACCACTGTTTCCTTGGCTTCCTGAGCAGAGAGTTTCCTGGACAGGTTGTAGTCCAGTCTGGCTTTATATTCAGAACTAGAAAATAAAAGTATTTTGTTGCCATAAGGGTTAGTAGTATAAATAATACTTCTCTCTCTCTCTCGGCTCTCTGAGAGTCAGTCTGAGGACTGACTCTACCTTTATTTTTTCTGACGGCCTCCCCGTTAGCTCAACATGATTTTATTGTATAAGCTATCTTTCCCCACTGATTTAAAATGCCACCTTTTTATACTTTTTATATCTGTCCCCAAATCACATTGTTTTATTTAATATAGCTTAATGATACAGTTTAATATCTAGTAGAGTTAAAGTGTTAAAAAGCAAAGATGTCATTTTGAGGACTAAGGTGTGCCTGACTCAAGCCATGGTATTTTCAATCGCCTCAAATACACACGAAAGCTGGACAATGAATAAGGAAGATGGAAGAATTGATGCCTTTGAATTATGGTACTGGTGAAGAATACTGAATATACCATGGACTGCCAGAAGAATGAACAAATCTGTCTTGGTAGAAGTACAGCCAGAATGCTCCTTAGAAGCGAGGATGGCAAAACTTCATCTCACGTATTTTGACATGTTTTCAGGAGGGACCAGTCTGTGGAGAAGGACATCATGGTTGGAAAAGTAGACCGTCAGTCAGCGAAAGAGATGAAGATCTTCAAAGAGATGGACTGATACAGTAGCTGCAACGACAGGCTCAAGAATAGAAACAAATGTGAGGATGGCACTGGACTGGGCAGTGTTTCATTCTGTTGCACGTACAGTTGCTATGAGTCGGAAATGACTGGATGACACCTAACAACAATAACAAGAGCTAATTTTGTACTACCCTTTCTGTCTTAGAATTTTCTGGCTATTTTTCCTTATTTTTCCGTATGTCTGTTCTCCCCCCCCACACCCCCCCAAAAAAAATTCTTTTCTGTTTTTATTGTGATTGCATTAAAATTACAGATTGATTTAGGGAGAACAGACATCTTTGTAATGTAGAATTCTCCTTTCTATGAACATGTCATGTTTTTATTTTTTAAGTATCTGTGCCCCTCAGCTGCCTTTTAATCTATATTTACATAGATTTTGTACATTTCCTATTAAATTTATTCCTATTTTATCTTTTGGATTGCGTCTGTCAAGGTCTTTGTTTCCATTATATCTTCTGATGTGTGTTTTGTTGTTAGTTTTTTTTTTTAATCTCATGATTTTAAGCTACTCCGGGAGCTGTTAGGAAGGAAGCAAATTATTTACTAACATAGACTACAGATTGTGAGGTCATAAATTACTTGTAGACACTGGACTAGAATGAAAAAAAAAAAAAAAAAAGAAGCGGCTCACACAGCATTAGGAAGACAAGGGTATCAGCTTTCACCCCTTCTATTC